CTTTTTTTTAACGACTTTTCACGAACAACAGTAGTAGCGGTAAATATATTTTTAATAACAGTGTCGTAGAAAGAATGAAAAATTGGGTGTGGTAAATCCATAAAAGCGCAGAATTTTGTTATGCCATGAAGACCGATGCCGAGCAATCTCATGGCAAAAATAATACGGCAATTTATATCGTATGCATTTTTTTCAATAACTGGAACAGCATTGATGACAGTTGGTTCGCATTTGTCACATTTCACCACGATTTTGTAACCTAAGCCTCGCTTACTTTTGTCATTAATATATGTAAGATTAATTAATCGAAATATAACTTGTGTTGATGTCAAAGAAGACAAGTTACGTGCACGAACAATAGTAACAAGTGTTCCTGAGGGGTCAGTTTCTGCTGGTATCTATATTGCTTTACGCATATTGGAATATATTTAGTTGTGTTTATGGAATGTGCAATTTTGTTTGTTCCTTTCAGTTTATTTCCCGGTAAATAAAATATGTCATTAAAGTTTTCAATTTCGGTTGTATTGGTTGTCTGTCTTTTTTATTTAGATGGTCTAGCCTTAAGTTTTATTTTAATAAATCTTTGCGTTAGGTTTTTTGAAATTACCGAATCTATTTGATATGTAGGACTGTTCCTCGGGCTTGTGGTAATATCCATTGGTTTTACATCGATTATAGGTATTGTATTCTTTAATTTGAATCACCACGGCGCAAATGCTTCGGCAACGCTACCCGATTACTAAGTTCCAAAGAAAATTATTTGTTATTACTAATCGTTACCGTTCACATTTCAAATTCAATTTTCGCATTTTCTTGGTGTAAAAATGTAGATGATTTCGGTACTACCCGTAACGGTTATGTAGCGAGTTATATATGGTGAGATAAATGGTTGAATGATATTTTGTTCTAATAGTTTATCGACTTGATTTTTAATTTTATTTTTATAAATGAAGATTCTACCATTTAATGTTGAAATAATTGGTATCTGTATTTCTTCTTATTATTTTTGATAACTAAACTTTCTTTAGCTTGTTGTAAATTATTTCAAATGTGCACAAACACACGGTGATTAAGCACATATATGTAAGATTAATTAATTGAAATATAACTTGTGTTGATGTCAAAGAAGACAAGTTATGTGCACGAACACTAGTAACAAGTGTTCCTGGGGTGCGTTCATAAAGTTTACTCTTTAACTTAGAGTTAACTAGAGTTAACTCTATAGCGTTTAGAAACTACGAATATGACCGGAAGTACGTTCAGAGTAAAGTGTTCATAAATTTGACAGAGTTAACTCTAGAGTTAACTTTTTTAACTCATGTCAAGAAGGTGGGTCAAAATAACTCGACATGCGCAATAATGATCTACTTATTTTAAAAGGTTATAATCAAGTGATAATGGTGTGGTGGAACCTACATAACCTAAACGCTGTCTACGCTAAACATACTTTTGGGGGCATTTTTTCTATTTTTAAAATTATTAAATATTATTTCAAAAATGGAAAACTATATAATATTAACAGACGAAACAGGAAAAAGAATTATGAACGAAAATGGTCTTACATTAGTACAAAATGTTGCAGGTAATTTATTTTCAATTATTTATTATTTTTTATTATTTTTTTTAATGCAAAAATTTGTAATCAATTGTTATTTTACCTTTCATAGTTTGTAGATAAATAAATTAAAGATTAATAATAATTTTAGATAGATGCAATTAGAAACAGAAAAAACCGTGACAAAAACATACAATATAGATAGAATCTCTCTGTATCATATGTATTCTTCTCTATTTCTAATTCTATCCATAGTTTTTGTAATTTTTATTAGGACGATGGTAGCACACAATGTAAAGCGTAAATGTAACGCGTGCAATGTAAAATTGTGCCAATGACGTATTTTATTTAATTTTATTTTTAATGTTGTTGAAACTCTTTATTTGTATAGTTTGCTACAACATTTTCTATGTATCCAACAATACGATTAGGCTTTTCTTTTAAATGTGTTTCAATTAATAACATTGCATAGTCTTCATCGTCAGATTCTTCCTAAAAATACGTATAGAATATAAGTGTTACGTCCTAACCTGGAGGGAAAGGGGTAGAGTCAGGCATACGGGCGGACGCAACCATAAAAGTATTTTATGGTGTTTGCTCGCTGGTCGGTATGAGGAGAGGCGACCGCGCGAGCCGAACGATTTTCTTTGGCTGAGAACAGGTCAACGATCGTAATGATCGATATTATCATGATGTAAGAAGATAGGTGTACCATTGCGCATAATGGCAGCCGTATGACGTCAGCATGATAGGACAGCCAATCAAACGTGGTCCAAAATGCATCCGCGAAATTCTAATATAGAATTATCATATTATTAAAATGTAATTAAAATTTATAAAAATATCTTATGAAAATAATAAATTTGCAATATAAAATACAGTAGCAATAAATGACAATTACCACAATAATAAATAATATCAATTAATAAATATTATATAGAAAATTAAGTGTTTCCAACACAAATGTGTGAATACATATATTTAATATCTCTTATGATATCTCGTATGATCAGTACGACTTATACAATTCTTTACACAACACGTTGGCATAGTTTTTAAATATCTTTTAATATTATTATATTTAATAACCTTCGGTGTCAACCGTGTCAACATATTTTGGCAGCCATATTACTTTTTAGCATTTTGGACCAATTCCTGATTGGTCGAAGAGCGATCATTACTTTGGACGACTGCGCATTCACGGCAATGGTACACCTATCTTCTTACATCATGGATATTACCCTGTTAGAGGCCTCAACCAATCGTTTGTGGTTCCCTTTTCTGGTCAAGAGAATTAACTCCTTTTACCAAGGGCGGAACCTCGTGCAAATTTTCAAAAGGAGAGGGGGGGTAGAAGAGGAAGGCGAGAGGTCTTACAACTAATTTAATTATGAAGGTTTTGACTTACTACTTGGATGTCCTGGAAATATATCTGGATCCTCTTGGGTCGTTCAGTGGTCCGTATTCACGTCGATGTATAATGAATATTGCTCGGAGGTTGGTTTAATATGTTGGAGAAGCAATTGCCGCGCGCGGTACTTCACTCCTCCGCGACGAGTTTTGGATTTCGGGATAAGAAAGAAATTTTATGTTAGTCCAGAAATTCCAGGCGTAAAGCGTGCGGTGGGCCGCACCACGATACGCGGGGATACAGAAATCGATACCACGTGCGGTGGTCCGCACCGAAAATATCGATACTGAGTGCTGATCTGAAGAAACAATTAGGAATAAGGCGGGGTAGGTTGAATGTGTGAGAAATGGTTTTAGTCGAAATATTGTTTAACAAACACGTTTACTATAATTATTGATATACAAGCACTTTGAGATACAATCGGTTTTCTAATATTTAAGGTATGAACTAAGATTCGATTGAGCTGGATTCAGAGATGTTGAGAGAACTATATTAACTGCTTAACTGCTGCCTTCACGGGTGGGTGTCTTCTTTTTTATACTCGAAATTTTGGGTTTTGGAAGGGAGACATTCCTTCCGAGGGGTTGTTAATAAAAACAAGATAAAAAAGGTTGTTTGAAGATTAATAGATGGTCAAAAAATAATAATTAACTAAAATATCAATTCATCAAAATGATCATTTTCAATTTCATCATTCATTCATCTGACATATATCCGAATGGACATATCAAAGTTTTATTCTATCTTTAAGGACTTCAATTTTCTAATGGGACACCATAACATTTTATCAGACTTTTTAATTTTTGGACTTTCTTATGTTCAACTGTTTTGTGATCGAAGATTGACCGATCACTCGTCGGCTTCTCATTTTTTGCAATCCGTTAAACATAAGGAAAGGATAGCAAGGGGAAAAATGTCTTCCGAGCATTGCTGTGCATGTCGCATACTAGAACACATTGATTTATAATTTGTTCGAATATGAAGACACATTTACTTCTACATTTTATTATAACATGGACATTCAAGTAAGATCTCCTAACCTGCATTTCTTATACGACGACTTTGCGTTGCGGTATTAATTTATTACTATTTATTTTAATTTACATTTTATATTTTATTTTACAACGAGCGTTCAAAATTTTCCAACCGATATGCGTTAGCCTTGCGGAACATACTTGTTTTTATTATTTCATGTTTCCTCTGTAACGTTTGTTTACTTGCTATGATATTATCAC